CATGCAGATAACAAAATTTAAGTAATAAAAAAATTTTGTAATGTGCAACAAAGTTTAATATACAAAATATTCAAAAAAATAAATGACTAAAAGTATAATGAATGCTGATGTAAAATAGATCAGAAATGTCCAATAAAACTGAAAAGAATCGTTGCTTTTGAAATAATCATAGTTGAAGTTTTGTGACATCATTTCCAGATGCTGATCATATAAATCATTTCCTAATATATAAAAAGAAAAACAAATAGTGAATGAAATCTCCCTAATTATTTGAAAAACTAAAAATTAAATCTTAATGGAAACAACCTAATCTCAAACTGGCAAGTTATTTAATGGAAACAGACATTTTCCATTAAATAACATGTTGGATATTTGGATGAAGACAAAATTGCACCTCATACATTGATGTGGTTACAAGATCACTTATCTGTGCACAAAAAATAGAATATCTAATACCAGATTACATTTGAGCTATATATAGCCAACTTATTCAACAATTAACTAAGATTATTTAGTAGAAAGGTCAGGCCACCTGTTTCGTTCCAAAATTTGTAGTTAAAAATTATATTTGAATTAAAATTTAGACCAAATTATCCTGTTTAATCATTCAATAAATAACCTAATTATAGCCAGTATGTAATCCAGCATTAGATGTTTGATAGAAAATTTAGGCTGGTATTTGAATATGTAGAAGAAGCTCACTGATGGATTAAAAGTTTTTCTCATAAACATTAACATGTTAAAATTGCAATAATTAATTGTAAGAGTTGCAATGTATATTTTATTTTTGTTATTTTCATTGTGTATACATGCTTTTAAATTTATTGTTTAATGAAAACCTACTGCTGATTAATCAAAGTGATAAAAAAATCTTTTATTTTTCCATTATATAACTTGCTGTTTGGAAATAGGTTGTTTATTTTGTTACATAACTACCAATTTCATTTAATACATATAAAATTAAATCTTATGTATGATGAATATCATTTCAGAATTAAAAATACTTTCTGATTGATAAACATGACCTTAATTGCTTTTAAATTCAAAATTCTTTAATTTTCAGACTTTCTACAGTAAATTGCTAAATATTCAAGATAGTAAAGTGGAATTTTGCTAAATTTAACTATTATCAATGATTATTTAAAATAAATATTATGATGATGATAGATTACCACCCAAATAATTTATTGAAATTCAACTACTACTAGAAAAGGCCTGATCTACTTTCATGAATAAAAAGTACCATATTTTTATTCCTTTGTTAAAGTTAATTTTATAAGAATAAGTTAATAATGTTGCAAATGTTTGCTGGCTACATGGCTGAGTCAGTTAAGGCATTAGCCTAGCATTCCAGGAATCTGGGATCAAATCTGTGCAGTCAAAAAACTCTAGGAATTTCTCAGGGATGTGATCCATCCTGCATGTCAGACCTGTCTCTCAATGCCCAGCCAAACCACAATGGGCCCAATAAAATGCTCTCTTAGTGTCCATTGGGCAAAAAATAAAAACATGCTGCAAATGTAGATATATTCATTTCTTATATTAGATATATTTATTTCATAATTGAAGTTTAGACTATACAAAAAGTCAAATTAACTTTTTAGTCCATCTTTATCCCTTACACACCACCACAGAAGTAACAGTCTTAAAAAAAATTGCTTTGAAGAACTCTTCTTAAACACAGATAAAAATTGGTAAAAAACTTCACAAGGTTAAAAAAGATCAAGTGCCAGCCTTTTATTGTAGGTTCTGACACTTTTACAATTAAGTTAAGTTAGACTATTTACAAAAAGTTAATTTGACTTTTTGTAAATAGTCTAAACTTCAATTATGAAGAAAATACATCCTGAGTTATCACAAAAATTGTAGATATATTTATGTATTGTACAATAATGGATTTCCATGTTACGTTTTTTCTTTTTTTGGTAAATATATTGAAGTGTTATAAGTTATTTTTCACCATAAGAAAAAAGTATTTGACTTCTCATTCATCATGAAAATAAATTTTCCTCTTTTTTCAGTGCATGCTTTTGCATGAAACTAGAATTTTTAAGAGTACAACAAAGCAATTTCTAAAACAACAAAAGCTAACTACAACTGTTTATACATATTACACATCCTCCCATTTCTCATTCAGTATATGCTACAAAGAATGATCACATTATCTCAGAGCTCTAAACTACTAACTCGTAACAACAGTTTAAAAAAGTGTGTGTGTAAAAATATAAAATTAATATTTCTGTAAAAATCACACTTTTTTGTATCATGTTAACTATGATTGACCACAACTGACCTGCTTGCATGGCCTATTCTAGAAATTTTGTTTCTATACCCAAATACTTTCAGACAAATGCATAAAATTCATTAGATTTCATCCTTGCAGAGTGCACTTTTGATGTTAAGGACTTCAAATTAAAATTCTTAACATTGAAAGTGCACTCCAAAAGGATGAAATCTAATGAATTTAATATGTTCACTCCAAAAAATGGAATAGTAATGCATCCAAAAATACTCAGGTATAGAACCATAAGTTTCTATAAGTTAAACCACAATAAAGCAGAAGTTGATTATTTTTAAATTTGAGTTAGAGAAATTCAATTTAGTGCAATATGTTTTAATTCATAAAAAAAAAATATTACAATATATTTTGAATTGTTTTTGGTACAGATTAACATGTAAAAACTTGATAACAACATTTTATAAAGTTCAAAAGTATTAACTGACATAAATTTTAACATAAGTTAACCTTTAGATTTTTTAATTACTAATATCCAATTTGTGACTGTTTTTCAAATATTAGTTTGCAAATATTTACATATTTTTAATGAGCTGAAATATTTAATTTTAATAAATTACTAGTATTAAATGCAGTAAATAAATTACTGTATTTACTCCAATGTAAGATGTACTTTTTCCCAGGTTTTAGTATTTCTGAAAACAAGGTACATCTTAAATTTGATGTAAAATTTCATAATTAGCAACCTCTAAAGCCATGTTTCTTATTTCTCTGTCACTAATTCTGTTGTGTCATTTCAATGATTTTTATTAGACCAATATTCAAAGTAGTAAATATTTAAGAGATTGATTTAGCTCACTCTCATTAGTCTGTTGTAATAACCTCATAGCTACTTGGATAAAAATTGCAGAAAAGTTGTGTGACACTCTTTCAAAACAATTTGCATTTCCAATGCTTCAAATAGCACTAAGGATGATTGTGTGTGAAAAAATGTAAGCATTGAATACAGTGTTAATTCACACTGCCTAACATGGAAAATGAAGAGGTGTCTGATTTCAGTACCATGAGTGTCAGTGATATATAACTTAATTTATTGAGCAATAAATTTGTTTCGAGTTGTCTATTTTTCATACATCTGAGCATGTGGAAATTAAGGCATGCCTAGATTGAATGGCATCTTATATTTGAGTAAATACGATAAAAAAAAGTATTGCCTAAATGTAGATCAATGTCAAGTTCTCCAAATTTAAGTGAAATGATTTATAGCTTGGATTTTGATTTCTCAACTAAATTAAAAAGATGCAGATTTCATTCTCTAAAGGTTTATTTTAAAGATTCTATCAATATTCAAAATGTTGACATAGAATGAAGAAATTTAAATCCAAGCACTAAAATTAAATTAAAATTTAATTTTAGTGCTCACATTTAAACACCAAAGCCAAAAGAAATTTTTTTAATGTTGTAACTGATGTGAAAGTAAAAAAATAAAAATCCATAACTGGTTGGGGCTGAGTGTGTAGTGAACTGTGATCAATACAAAACATTAGTCTGTTGATATAAAAATTAAAATTTAAAAGAATTAATATCACTTTCTTTTTTATTACTAAATATAAATATGCATTTATCACACATTTGAAGATACAATAATATTTAAATAAAAAAAAACAACTTTAAAGTATATTCTTATTTGAATTATTTCTGTGGTCATAATAATATTCCCAGTGACTGTATTTTAATGATACAATTTGAAGTGGAAAAAAAGATTGGAAATTTCACAGAATAATTCAGGAAAGAGGAAGATTTTAGTAAAATTGGTTGGCAACATCAGATCAGTTTTCCAGTGGGGTTATTATTGATGAACAAATCAGATAAAATAGTATATATGTATGTATAATATTTTATTATTATTATTATTATTTAATTATTATTTACAATCAGTGAAAAATATTTTTAAGAAATTTTAAATATATCACTTTTGAAACTTTCCAAATATAAAAATAATAAAAGTTGGAACCTCTGATCTACATTTTCTAAACCTGAATCTGTACAGAAGGTCAGCATCGTATTTTCAAAGTAAAATGTCAATTTGTTAAGTTGCAAGATATGAAATTCATACATTACTGTTTCAGATTATGATTTAAGAATAGCATTATTTTGCATTAATGAAAAATTTGTCTACAGACATTTTTTTGTATTCAGAAAATCTTACAATAGATTATCACCATAAATGAGCATTTCTCAATGTTCAAGTAATGTGCTGTTCAAAGCTGGAACTTAACAATAATTAATTTCACACATTCCTTACATCTTCCAGGATTATTTTAAAACAGAAATTACAAGTTGTTGTGATGTTTAACAAGTGGATCTCCATTTAGCAGTTTTGGTACATAAATATAGTTGAACTTGATTTAAAAAGAAAACTTTTTAATAAAAGCAGAATTTTATTTCTTCATTTTTTTGTTCAAATTTTGTTTTATATATATCTCAGTGTAATTTATATAAACTAAAAAAATAATAATAATTTTTAAATTTATAACTAACTAATTAATAATTTTAATAACGGTGAAGTTGTATTTTCAATTCATCGTGAATATTTTCAAATTTGAAAGTAATTATTTCAATTCAATCAAAATTTAGTAATTCATTTTAAGTAATATTTTGAACAAATAAAATTGAATTTTTACTTTGTTTATTCTTAACAGTTTGTAAGAAGTTGTACTCATAATGTATTCATATAAAAAAAAAACTATTATTATTGTAATACCTGTAATCTCTGCTTGTAAATGTTTATCCTTAGCACTGCTTTCTTGCATAGCATCTGCCAGACATTCTTTCAATTGATCTTCTATGTGTTCTCTTTTTGCAGTGTGTGTTTCAGTAGTTTTAGGCCAATCACCAAAAACTTCAAGAATTCCTGGAGATTGTTCAAAACTTCCTTAAATAACAAATATAACAACATATGGTTATTGTCATATCACACAAATAAATCAATATAATTATAAATTTTTTTATCATTTTTTATTTACCTGAACTTGCTTCAATAAGTAACAGAGTTGGCGATTCTGAATGCGACTGATGAGATGAAGGCATAGCCATGGGACTAGATCGGACCGGATGAGTTCTGAATCAAAATTATTTTCAACATTAGAAATTAAAAAACAAATTTAAAATCTTTTTTATAATATATATTATAAATGTATTACCATTAGATGTGTAGGCATTAAAACAATAATTATTAAATGAGTTTTATATATCAATATTAAAATCTATAATTTTATGTTATAATAGTGAATACTTAAGACACTATAGAGAAATTTATATAATAAATGGTTTACCTAATATTTTCTATATCTAGTTCTTCGGTATAAATATCTAATGGTGACGAATGAGGTACTTCTGGACTTTGTGATAAAAGAGCAGACGATTCTGGAGACAAAACTGTCGTGTTTGCCATGTGCTGAAATGTTTTAAAAGTAAACTGTGGCCCCATCCATAGTCGACGGTGAGGACCAGCATGGGTGATGATTTCAACCTAATTTACAAATTTATCATTAATTTCTTTTCATCTTTAATTCTTTTATTCATTAATTTCTTTTCAATCATTAATTTAAATTCATCATTAATTTAATTAATAACAAAAATTAAATAAAAAGTGTTTATAATTTGCTTTTACCATGTGATATATTTTAACAAACACTGAGTAAATTTCAATTGTAGCATCTTCAAGTGAAGAACTTATTGGGTTGTTTGGAAAGTAATTTCGTTTTTTTCCGTGGAAAAAAAAAACAATATTTTTATAATAAATAAATATTTTATTAAATTATATATCGACCATTTTGGTCAAATACCTGNGAAATTTTAAATATATCACTTTTGAAACTTTCCAAATATAAAAATAATAAAAGTTGGAACCTCTGATCTACATTTTCTAAACCTGAATCTGTACAGAAGGTCAGCATCGTATTTTCAAAGTAAAATGTCAATTTGTTAAGTTGCAAGATATGAAATTCATACATTACTGTTTCAGATTATGATTTAAGAATAGCATTATTTTGCATTAATGAAAAATTTGTCTACAGACATTTTTTTGTATTCAGAAAATCTTACAATAGATTATCACCATAAATGAGCATTTCTCAATGTTCAAGTAATGTGCTGTTCAAAGCTGGAACTTAACAATAATTAATTTCACACATTCCTTACATCTTCCAGGATTATTTTAAAACAGAAATTACAAGTTGTTGTGATGTTTAACAAGTGGATCTCCATTTAGCAGTTTTGGTACATAAATATAGTTGAACTTGATTTAAAAAGAAAACTTTTTAATAAAAGCAGAATTTTATTTCTTCATTTTTTTGTTCAAATTTTGTTTTATATATATCTCAGTGTAATTTATATAAACTAAAAAAATAATAATAATTTTTAAATTTATAACTAACTAATTAATAATTTTAATAACGGTGAAGTTGTATTTTCAATTCATCGTGAATATTTTCAAATTTGAAAGTAATTATTTCAATTCAATCAAAATTTAGTAATTCATTTTAAGTAATATTTTGAACAAATAAAATTGAATTTTTACTTTGTTTATTCTTAACAGTTTGTAAGAAGTTGTACTCATAATGTATTCATATAAAAAAAAAACTATTATTATTGTAATACCTGTAATCTCTGCTTGTAAATGTTTATCCTTAGCACTGCTTTCTTGCATAGCATCTGCCAGACATTCTTTCAATTGATCTTCTATGTGTTCTCTTTTTGCAGTGTGTGTTTCAGTAGTTTTAGGCCAATCACCAAAAACTTCAAGAATTCCTGGAGATTGTTCAAAACTTCCTTAAATAACAAATATAACAACATATGGTTATTGTCATATCACACAAATAAATCAATATAATTATAAATTTTTTTATCATTTTTTATTTACCTGAACTTGCTTCAATAAGTAACAGAGTTGGCGATTCTGAATGCGACTGATGAGATGAAGGCATAGCCATGGGACTAGATCGGACCGGATGAGTTCTGAATCAAAATTATTTTCAACATTAGAAATTAAAAAACAAATTTAAAATCTTTTTTATAATATATATTATAAATGTATTACCATTAGATGTGTAGGCATTAAAACAATAATTATTAAATGAGTTTTATATATCAATATTAAAATCTATAATTTTATGTTATAATAGTGAATACTTAAGACACTATAGAGAAATTTATATAATAAATGGTTTACCTAATATTTTCTATATCTAGTTCTTCGGTATAAATATCTAATGGTGACGAATGAGGTACTTCTGGACTTTGTGATAAAAGAGCAGACGATTCTGGAGACAAAACTGTCGTGTTTGCCATGTGCTGAAATGTTTTAAAAGTAAACTGTGGCCCCATCCATAGTCGACGGTGAGGACCAGCATGGGTGATGATTTCAACCTAATTTACAAATTTATCATTAATTTCTTTTCATCTTTAATTCTTTTATTCATTAATTTCTTTTCAATCATTAATTTAAATTCATCATTAATTTAATTAATAACAAAAATTAAATAAAAAGTGTTTATAATTTGCTTTTACCATGTGATATATTTTAACAAACACTGAGTAAATTTCAATTGTAGCATCTTCAAGTGAAGAACTTATTGGGTTGTTTGGAAAGTAATTTCGTTTTTTTCCGTGGAAAAAAAAACAATATTTTTATAATAAATAAATATTTTATTAAATTATATATCGACCATTTTGGTCAAATACCTGTTGTCATCGTTTCTGGTAGTAGCATGATTTCACATTCATAAAAGTTTTGATTGTTGCTTATAAAAAACTGATCCAAGTGATTTTTGACATTGTCATTTCAAGTAAATGTCTTACAGTTTAAAAAATTGTATAGACCGGAATAATCTGAGTGTGCTCGATCTGGTGAATATGGTTGGTGTGATAGCACGTCCCATCTAAGTTATAACAGTTTCTGACGAGTTAACAAACTTGTGTGAAATTTGACATTATCGTGGTTTGTTAAATTGTCTGGTAAAAGCTCCCAAAAAAAAAAAAATTCCTTAAAATTCCACTAAAGAGAGCATCTCTCTTTAAGAACATGTGGAACCCATATATCGAGCTTTGAAACAAAACCAATTTGTTTCAAGTAATCATAAACAGTTCAATTTGACAAACTTAATCTCTTAGTGATTTCATGTGTTGTTATTCAGCAGTTTGCTTCAATCGGTACATTTATTTTGTTTTCATTGGCTTCCACTGGCCATCCAGAATATGGTGCATCTTCAATATTGAAATTGCCAGAACAAAATTTTGTTAACCAGTTTTGGCATTGTCATTCTGTCAATACATCTTCTCCAAACACATCACACAATTTTTTTCTCGCTTGAACAGCATTCTTACCCTTTCGGTAATAAAAGAGCAAAATATGCCAAAAATGCTGCTTTCATTCTTCCATATGTGATGGGACACAAAAAATAAACAATTGCACAAAATCAAACAAAATTTTTACAAATAAGCCTTAAAATGCTAGCTGTCAAAATATATAATGATAATAGAGTTTAGAATGAAAATGGCGGAAAAAATGTGACTAATCCGTCTAGTGGTAAAAAAAAAACGAAATTACTTTCCAAACAACCCAATACAATGAGCAAACATATGAATTTGCATATTGTATGAGCAACAATATGCAAATTCATATTAATTGATTATTTTTTAAATATTTCAATTTCAGATTTGATAAAAGTACATTACTATTGATTATGCAATAAATTTCAAATTAAAAAATCCAGCAAAGAGTTGTCTAACTTTCCTGGTTGTTATGTGATTTTGTTATAAAAACCATTTTATATTATTAATTATTATGAAATGCAAGAAGCTTAATTTTGAGGGTAGGGATGAATTTTTATAAAAAATTGTGAATGCAAATAACAAGCAAAATTTTAAATATGTCTGACTTCTCTCAAGACCCCAATATGTGACCCACTTCTATCTCTCAATTCCTTGAGCTTTAACCACCAAAATTTAATAGCTTCAATGCCCCTTATACACAAGCTACCATGCCAAACATCATTTCTTAATCATTACCCTATCCTGAGATATTAAACAAAATACATGACAACACACACAGACAATTTTGGATTTTTTTTTGTTTAGAGGGATCAAAACATCATGATTTCAAAAACCTGTAGGGTCAAATTTGGCACAATTACAATATTATATTATAACAGTTCGGAATGTAACCCATGTTGCATTAAAACAGCCAGGAAAATAACAAGAAAGTAAAAATTTGAGATGATTACAATACTTTCTTGTGTTATGTTATATCAGCCAGGAAAGTAAAAGTTCAAAGTTTTATAAGGTACTACGTTCCGTTGCTTGTTTTTTCTATTGCCTGAGGAAGAACTATTAATGTCCGAAAATGTTTGCAATATATTTATCCATCATATCACACACACCGGTAACAGGTTCAAGGTACATGTTGGTTTCATCCCAGTGTCCTTTGGATATAGAAGTTTATATGGTAATAAGCTGACAAGTGACCTGGAAAACTTAGGAAATCAACAGGAAATTTTACTTGAAGGGAAGAGTCAGAGAAAATGTAGAATTTTATAATTTCAATAATATGTCAAAGTGAAATTTTCACCATGATCTCAGAATCCAATTATGCATAGTAACCAAACCACAACTAAACTGCTTTTGATATCCATTTTTGACCCCATTTTGGCTGAGATATGGCTCCTCTGACAATGTAGAAATCAAAAGTTAATTTTCATATGGGAATTGTTATTTTTTAACATAAGGCTCTATATAATTGTCCAGCCTGGACAATTCAAAAAATTGAAAGATTCTTTACAAGATCATCTATTAAACCACTTATGGTGTGCATATTAAAACCATGTACCGTCCATACCTATTATAAGTGCATTGGTTTAATTTTAAACTGTTGCTGTTTGACTATGTTTAGTTTCTGTGAATAGCTAATTTTCATACTTCTTAATTTTTCCATCACAGAAATTACTTATACTTTTAAATTCTTTATTCTATTTTTATTTGAATGTAATTCTATTCAAACTCTGCTTAACCATTTAGAAACACTATTCTAATATCAAAGACAATGGAAATGTGTCTTGTTGAAAGTACCTGCACCTTTTTAACAACATTGCACAAATTTATTTCAAATTTACTAGTTTAACATTAGAAGACAAAGTAGTCTTTAAGTAATAAAAAAAAATTACTCTAGCTTATATTTATTTTTTTCATCTGATTGAGTAGATGTATTAGATTTGTATAAATCATTGCAATTAAAAGTGGTTTAAGTCCATTTAAAAAAAAAATCAAGTTAATAATGACATTAGCTACATTTCTAGTGATCTTTTTATTTTAAAACAATTTGCAGTCAAGATCATCAAAACTGCTATGATTTTTTAATAAATAATTAGCTTGCATACAAAATTTCAAAAAATTTTTTTGAAAGTGGTTTTTCATCTGATTGATCAATTAAAAATTTAAAAAATGGACTTGAACAGTCCATTTTTTAAATTTTTAATTGATATGCAATATGTTATGTGGTAAAATGTTAGTAGGTGCTAGATTTACTTTATAACTGTAATACTTCATTATTATAAAAATCCACCATGAGTACAGAAAAACAAAAAAATTTTAAGTTTAACCTCCATTAGTAATCTAGCATCTATGAGAAGCCACTTTTATAACTGCATTTGTTGAAAACATGAACTAATACAGGGATTATCATATGTACTAACTGATAGAAATTTTGAAATTGTAGAAATGGTATTAAGAAGAAATAATTTATTGTATGTCCCCAGTACAATAATTATCCCATTACAAAGTCATAATAAAATATTGAAAAAATAATAACTTTATATTGAATGAAATAAAACAAGAGAATTTCTTCTCAACTAAACCTTTAGAGGAGACAATTTTTTAAAAATTAAAAATTACTGATGGAGAGCCTATAAATTGGTTAAAGATATGTTGGATGCAGTTTTCAAGAAATGAATCCTATAAAATGTTTTATAAAATGCCAATGGAAGAGGATGCTGAATTCAAAATTCTTAATTTATTACTGCATCAGGAAAAACCAAGAAACTTTAATATTAATACCATTATATAAAAATGTAAAACCAATACTGACACACAAATACAAAGACATGATGGAGTTATTAGGTTTATACCTACTGCACACCATGATTATTTCAAAATTCCCAAACTTATTCAAGATGAAAAGAAGACTGAATTTTAGATTATCAACAATTTGAATTTGATCTCTTAAAAAATGAATGAATATTTAACTCTATGAAATGAAAACACATTATTTTCTTGTTAGGCTGCAATTTGAAAAAAGACCTATAAATTCCCACAGTTGTCTGTTGTCTATCCTTCCTTAACTTCAAAAATGGAGTTAGATAGATGAAAGCCGAGACCAGGTATGGAAAGCTTAGGGGCAGGAAACTCCGATTAACTATATACAAACTTCCAATGCAAACTGGAAGTCACATTATTTCAATTCAAAAATTTTCCCCTGAAGGAAATTAGATAGATGACTCTGGCAACAGAGCATGAGTCCTGCTAGCAACAGAATCATGCCAGTGATTCTGTTGCTAGCAGTGAAAGTATGATGTACAGGGACAAGACACTGCTAATTTGAGATAAACAGCATATAATTTAAATAAAATAAATTTAAAATATGATTAAAAATTGCAGCCAGCATTGTGATGCATTATAAAAGATACTTTATAAAATCCAGAATTAGATATTTGATAATAAAATTATTTACCTGAGAGAGCCAGCTCTCTTCTATCTCTTCTGTTTTTGCTTGGCTGTCTTGCATTTGATTATTGGTTTCAGCATGACCTGTGTAAATTAACTTTTAATTCTTTTTTGGAAAATTCAAACTATTTTTTATTAATTATACAATTACCTGAAGATGAAATTTCATAAGCTATTAGAGGGTTTGTTGTAGATAAAGGTGGTTTAATTTCCATTGAACTTAAAAGACTGTAATAAAAAAAAACTTAAAATCTTCTATAATGCTAATAATAATGCAAATTAGCATTTTATAAATTAAAGAATGCTAATTTGGTATGTGAATATTTTACCGAAACAAGTTCCACTGAGCATGTGCAGTAACATCAAGTTCGATGGGAGAATCTTCACCCACTTTCCCAGTACCAGAAGGTAGTCTTGGTTCAAGAATGTATTCTATTAGACAACCCTGACAGCCCACAACAAAAAGTGAATCAACTGGACGTTTTTCTAATAAAGTAAATTATAATTATGAATTTTATATACTTTTCATAAACTTTTCCTTAATTTTTTAATCCTATAATATTAACATTTTAAAAAATATATCTTCATTTTTACAGTTGTTTTTTAAATTTTATATCTTAAATATTAATAAATGTTAAATTCTTCATAATTAAAATTTTCTGTAATATTCTGTTGCAAAATTTTTTAATGTTATTGAATAAATTGTTAAATAGATATTGAATATGCTGAAAGTATTTTAATCAATCTTTATATATGTGTATATATGAGGTTCATTCAAAAAGTCCATGGCCTAGCTGACATATAGTGCTAATGTAAGATAATTTTTATTACTGTTTATTACTATTGTTTGTTCTAATATGAAATATAACAGTAAAGTGCTATTCTGATACTTTATTTTTATACTTTGACTAGCAGACCCCGCCATGCCTTGTTGTGGCTCAAAATGTATCTATTATAAATGTATAATACTTCCCCCGTGGGGGAAAATTTTTCGAAAAATTTTTTCTTAGTGTACATTCTCTTGACGTACCCTATTAAAACGCAATCAAAAGCGCAAAAACCCGCATCTAAAATAGTATAATAGAAGCCAAGTTTTTCACAGTAAGCCTTAATCTTGTGCTTCTCCCCCGCGGGGAAAATATCGAAAAATCCCTTCTTAGTATACATTGTGTTGACGTACTCTATTAAAATGAAATCAAAAACGCAAAAAATCGCATCTAAAATAGCATAAATAGAAGCACAGTTCTTTACGGTAAGCCTTAATCCTGTCCATCTCCCGGGGGGATTTCGACATGTATATTATATAAAAACACGTGCGTATTCGAATGCAGCGTTGTGTCAAAATTTCAAAGGAATCGGTAGGAACAAACGAACATTACATTTTTATTTATATAAATAGATAGA